GGCCTGGGCTGGGGCCTGGCTGGTGCTGCTGTCACCTGGGCTCTGCTGCGCCCTGGATCCTGCCTCCAGCCCAGCAGAGCCAGGATAATGTGGTCCTGCAGCATCCTTTGTGGGGCTGGGGAGTGGGGGATCTTGGCGTGTGCAGGGGATTCTGGTCCCCGGCAGCGATGGGGGCTGCAGGGAAGAGAGCTGCCTCGCAGGCGCTGCAGCTGCTCCTGGTGCTCAGGCTGTTCCTGCTGCAGCCCTGCGAGCTGTTGCTTTTGTTCCTGGCTCCCAGGCTCAGTGCACGATCGCAGTCCCCTGCCCCTTTGCCCAAGCTGTGACCAGCCCCATGGGTTCCCTTCTGCTGCCTCGGGCTGGAAGGGAGAGCAGGGTTACCTGAGGGTGAAGGAACCTGCATCTTTTTGCTCAGTCTCACAACAGCAGCGGAGCTCAGTCTCCCCACCCAAGTGTGAAGGTGAAAGCCGCCCGCTCAGCAGAGGTGCGGGCTGGAGGGGTGGATAATTGATCGCTGTAACCTGAGGTGGGTGACCTTGTCGGGATGGGCTGTGCTCTGGAAGCAGCTCCCCTGAGAGCTGTCTCCTGGCCATGTGTGGAGGAGAGCTCCTGTGTTCCCGCAGGACGGTGTCCTGCTGCCAGGCTGCCTGACAGTCATGCTCTTGGTGGACTGAGGCACCTGCCTTCTGTGGGTTTCCCAGTTATGCCCATTTCTGCACCGTTCTTCCCCCGTCTGGGGCTGGGCAGACATTGGCGCGGTCAGGTACAAGTTGCTGCAAGGCTTTCAGTGGTTGCTGCATGGAGCATGCTTTGAGGAGCATGCAGGAGAAGGGAAGAGGCATCCCAGGGCAAGTGCATGGGGCACATCCCGCTCCCAGAGCTATCAGAGCCCTTCCAACAAGTGTGAGAGGTTGCACCCTCCTGCAGCTGCCCTGGCATGAAGGGTAGCACAGAGGAAAGCTGCTGGGAACAACCCGGCATGGGGAGGCCCCACTAGCCCTCCTGGAACGGCCTGGAGCCATGTATCAGTCTCCTGCCCTGTGCTCAGAGCTAATTCTTGGTGGGTGCCAGCCCCCAAGCCCTGCTTTGGGAGAGGGTTTTGCTTTTGTGGCTGCCAGGGATTTGGGAGGGGTGGCTCTTTATCCTGTGGTGTGTCTCATGTGGGTCCGGGTGATGCTGTTGAGGGCACAAGTGAGGAAGGAAAAGCCTGATATAGTCAAAGCTCTTGGTTCCTCAGAAGGGGTCACCCCCATCTGTCTTTTCTCCACGCTTAGTCTTCTGTTTAAAAACTTTGTTCCCTGCCTCATTATGTGCTGATTTCTGTCCAACATGCACAGTCCCCTGTGAAAGATTAAGCCTATCTTATCTGCCCCTCTTCAGATGTGTGCAGCAGCTGAAGAACGATGGCTTCCACGTGGATGAGCTCTTCCAAAAGTGCCTGTTTGAGGAAGATGAGAAGGAGAAGGTGCTGAGGGCCATCAGGATTGTCCAGCCCAACTACCAGCTGCCCCCTCCACCCAAGCCCCAGACCTGCAAGTCTTCTCTGCTCCAGGACTTCTACTCCAAAGTAAGCCACAGAGCTCAGGGATGTCTCTGCAGCTCGGAGAGGTGTTGGAGCTGGCCAAATGATGTTCATAGGTGTCCTCAGGTCCAGCCCCAGACTGTAATATGGGAAGAACTTTTTAGCCCGATCTCTGCTCAATAGCCCACACAAATCATCAGGCAGCTCCTTGTTCTGAGGAAGCGAATAGCCGTACCAACAGCCTTACAGAGCAACAGAGAAGCGGAGGGCTGACAGGGGGGGCTGAAGATGATGGTCATACGCTGGAGGGGGTGCCTGGGGGGGATGCTTGGTCATGACACAGGAACATAGCAGTCTCTGGAGAGGCCTGTTACTCCAGAGTCCCTGGGGTTTGCCAGCCAGAGACCTCAGACCTCTGGACTCGGAGGTCCCAGAAAGGTGCCTTCAGCAGGGACTCATGCCACGTGCCTCTTGCAGGAAAGCTGGGAGAATGAGCACGTCTTCTCTTCCTCTGGCTTTTGGCACTTAATGTCTCACTCTTCTTGCAGGAGAAGATGGTGCCATACCCCAAGCTGGATTTCACTGTGCAGGAGCTGCAGGAGCGCTTTCAGCAGCAGCTGGAGATGGAGCTGGACAATACCATAACCATCGAGTCAGTGGAGTCAACCAAACCTCTGACCCCGCAAGCCATTAAAGCGGTAAAGCTCAGGGAGTCTGGGGGCTGCATGTCTGAAGGGAAGGGGGGCAGTTCAGCCCTCAGGACCTGTGGAAGAGATGCAGGGGTTGGTGGCCTAAAGAGGGGGGCAGCTCCCTGCTGACACACTCTCACCACAGCATTGCTGTCTTGCTTCCATTTCTGTGTAGCGCAAACTGCTGGCCACCCTTCGTTCCCAGTGGCATGACTCCATCCTCCAGGCCCTGCAGAAGTCGAAGCACAGCATGTCCAAGCTCAAGACGGTGTCGGGGTACAACATTCTCTACCCCTACCTGTGCCTGATGCCGGATGAGGAGTATGTGGGCATCATGCTGCAGGTAGGACCCTGCCCTGCCCTCACAGATCTACAGGAACGGGGCCACCCGGATGGCCATAAGGTTGCCACAAAGCACTGATGTCCCGCTCGGGCCAGCAGAATCAGAACACAAGCCTCAAAGTTTGCCCAGGTTATTAGGTGCAGGCTCTGTCTGCTCCCCGTGCTGAGCAGCCAGAGAAGCCCCTGCTCTGTCCTGGCCATGTTTCCTTCCTCATGATCTGCTCAGCATCATGGGAATCGGCATCTTTCTATGCTCACCACACAGGGGCTTTAACTCCCACTTTGTCTCTCTGCTCCATCTTTCTGTTCCTCCCTCCTTAAGACCCTCTTTGCCTTCCCCTTTCTCAGATCCTCAACACCCTCTCTCCACAAGGAGAATCCCTGGCTGTCTTGGCCAGGGAGCTGGGCTCCAAAATCTACAACAGATACATCACCCAGAGGAAGCTGCGCAGCCGACAGCTGGAGAAGGTGCAGGAGGTCTATGAGGAATACATTCACCTGCTGGCAAAGGACAGCCAGGTAGGTATGCCTGGGAGAGGGGGGTCCTGGGGCCTGCAGGTTACAGAGCAGCAGAGCAGAGATGTGGCAAGGCAGTTTGTCCACCTCCTCACAAGCACAAGGTCCGGGTTTTGGGAATCTGCTGCTGCAGAGGCCACCAGAACCAGTAAGACCCCATCTAACGCTTGGCAGGCCCCCTGCCCCGTGGCAACAGGCAGGTTGGTTCTGGCATAGCGGTGGGTATTTCTGAGCCTGAGGGTTTTAAATTGGCAGAGTTGATCCCTTGGAGCCAGGCATCCTGTGCAGGAGAGCTCTGGGGCTTGAGGAGGGTGTGCTTTGCAGTGCAGGATGGGAAGGGAGAAAGGGGCCAAGGCCGCCGATTTGGGCAGCTCGAGGGCCGGATGAGTAGGTCGTTTGCAGAGCTGTGTGCGTTTGGCATGGTGGGGGAGGCAGACCTGCAGTCTGGGAAGGAGGGTCAGGATGGTGTGGGGACAGGGTGTCGGCACAGGGGTGTGGCGAGAGGAAGGGCTTTGCAGCGCCACTGTCCCGGCCTGCAGCAGAAGCGGGTTCTCGGGCTTGCCCCAGCCACGTCAGCAGTCCTTCCCCAAATACCCCTGTCAGGGAGGACTTCACAGGGACACAGAGACAGGAGGATCCTTCTCAGAACCATGTTCCAGGTACATAGATCCCATCCAGCAAAACCCCCGGGAGCGGTGTGACTGGCCCCTCCAGCTGACCCAATTTTCTCCTTCTACCTCCCAGCCTGACAGGTACTTGCCACGGGAATATTGGGAGAAGCTGGTGGCAGAAGCAGGCTTTGGGCCTTCCCTGAACTTGAAGGACTGCAGTTGGCCGTACATGCTCCTCATGCGCCTGGGCATGCACATGCTGGAACTCCTGGTGCAGGCTGTCAAGGTGCCGAGGAACGTCCTCAATCCTCGCCTGGAGCCCAGGCTTATCCCCGTCCTCTACCACGTCTACTCCTTCCACAGCAGCTGGCAGGTGAGCCTTGTCCTGGGGGCTCTGGGGCTGTGCAGGTCACCTCTTCATCGGAACTGGGCCTTTGCAAGGCCCTTTTCCCTCCCTGCTGCCTCTCCTGCTCAGGGACGCTTAGAGGAGCCTCTGGTTCTGTGCGGACAGTGTCAGTGCGTAGCATGATCGCTATGTAATGGCTGATTGACCATATGCTCTTCCAGACTCCAGCCCTAATCCTCTACTGCTGACCTTTACCTCTCTGATTCTCCTCTCAGGTTGGGCTGATAAAGCCCCATCCCATCTTCTCCCAGATTGTGTCAGATGCTGCAGAGACCTTGCTGACCTTTAATTCCTCTGCCATACCTATGCTGTGCCCCCCGGTACCCTGGACCTCCCCCCACTTTGGTGCCTTTGCCCTGAATGACACCAAGTTGATGCGCTTTGTGGATGGGGCCATCCAGCACCAGCTGCTTCTGGAGCAGTGTCCTCCGGTGAACCTCCACCCCGTGCTGGATGCCCTGAACCAGCTGGGCAACTGCGCCTGGAAGATTAACCAGCCAGTGCTGGATATCATCATCTCCATCTTCAATGACAAAGGCAATGAGAAGCTGGACATCCCACCGCCCATCTCTGAGGCCCCCAGGCCTCCTGCTGCTCCCAGCAATTCCTCTACCTGCAACAAGTCCCAGAAGCACGAGTTGTTGCTGTACAAGAAGAAGACAGCTGAAATGCACAGCTTGCGCATGGATGCGCTGTATAAGCTCTCCATCGCCAACTACGTCAGGGACAAGGTGTTCTGGTTTCCTCACAACATGGACTTCCGAGGCAGGACTTACCCTTGCCCACCTTATTTCAACCACCTCGGTAACGATGTCACCCGGGCCATCCTGCTTTTTGCAGAGGGAAAGCCACTGGGGCCCAAGGGCCTTGACTGGCTGAAGATCCACCTCGTTAACCTCACGGGGTTGAAGAAGAACAACGCCTTGCAGGAGCGGCTGGAGTACGCCAATGAAATCATGGAGGAGATCCTGGACTCAGCCGACCACCCGCTCACAGTAGGAGGGGAATGGCTGGCAGGGCTCTGCTTTCTCTTGGGGTGGAGTGGTGGGACCCTGAATGGCAGGAGAATAGCGTGGGCTCCAGGAGCCTGCAGCTAGCCCCCAGCAGGTTGGGAGGTTCTTCAGTGACCGAACTGAAAAGCAGGGAAGTTCCTCTGTGTTTGAGTCCAAATAGGAATTGTCCAAATATGCTAAGCAAAAAAAGGGATCAGTGTTCTTTCATTTCGGAGGAGACTTAACCATTCCTCTTACTTAGCATAGCTTCTAGAAAGTAAAATAGAATGGAAATCAAATCAATTTTGAAACAAAAACCTTTTGAAAGATAATGCTTTGAGAGGAAAAAGGGGAAACAAAGCATTGCAGAGTTTCCTAAATAACACATTTCTATCTGAAAACACGATGAAATATTAGGGAAATGGAGGCATGGTGGGAGGAGGTGCTTGCCCAGTATATCCTGAGAGCACAGGGGCTCCTGCCTTTGCTTTGAGGTGCTACAAGAGCACTGCCCGCTCCTACCAGCGTGTGCTTTTGTTTTCCCAGGGCAGGAAGTGGTGGATGAACACCGACGAACCCTGGCAAGCCTTGGCGTGCTGCATGGAAATCGCCAAAGCCTCGCGGTCCCCAGATCCAGCAGCCTACATTTCTCACTTCCCGGTTCACCAGGTGGGAGCCCAACGGATCCGCATGGCCCGTGTGGTTGAGCGGGGAGAGGAAAATGGGCAGGGCAGAAGCATGCAGGTCTCCAGTGCTGCATTTACTACGCCATGTGGCCAGGCTTTCTTAAGAATGGGAGTGCAGTCTACAGGCATCTTGGCTTGAGAACTCCAGTAATTTGCTGCTGCATGCAGCCATTAATGAGCCAGTACAGTTAAGTGCTGCTTTGCTTCCTTTGGCTGGGGCAGAGCCTGTCTGGGAGATCGCTGTCAGCTGCCCACAGGGTGGGAGCTGGGCCAGTCTTAGCTTCTCCAGTCATGGGATCAGGACTGGAAATCAGCCCGACCCTGGCTGGGTGGGACGTGGCGTGGGTGCATGGCAGCACCTGCCCATCTGAAGTGCTTGGAGCTGTGCTGAGGCTGGAGCAAAAGATGGGAGGTCTGGACCTCTGAAGAAGGGCAGGGCGACAGAGCTGATCTGTCCCCCGCATTCAGTGACGTGGCTGTCATTCACCATGTGCCCTGTACTGCTCGGTCCCAGATGTGCCCATACTCTGAGCGGGGCAAGCGCAATCATTCAGGTGCTGCTCAGCTCTCTGAAGGCATCTGTCCTTCCCAGCTGGAGAGAGGAGCCAGGCAGCCGCTCCCGTTAGCCAGCACTCAGCCCTTCTCCCTGCTGCGTCCCAGCAGATCTGCAGCTCTCTTTGCAGCTGCTGCCCAGCCAGCTGTCTGCCTGCACCGATAAATCCCCTTGCTGCATGGGAGACAATGATTAATTGTTTTCTTGGTGAGAGGGGCTTGCTCATTTATCTCATTAGAAGATCAGATGGCCCTAATGAAGTGTGGGGGGAGAACAGGATGTATTCTGCCAGTAGCAGTGGTCTGGAATATGTATGAGACTGTCTAAACTGATATTGTTATGACAACAAAAGATCAAGAGAGCAGTCGGGGGGGTGTGGAGGGTGCCGTTAATGAAATTCAAGCAAGGACTTCTTCTGGAGGGCACCCGAGTCTCTTTCTACCTGAGTCATCAGCACTTGGTTAATAGAGGCAGCTCTTCTGCTGCGGCAGGGCTGCCGGAGCCCTGTCAGTTCTCGGCTCTGCAACTTGCTGCACTGCAGGGTGTGGGGAGGAGAGGGAGAGGAGGGTTGATCCTGCAGGCTCCCTTTGACCAGGCAGAGCCCAAGCACAGGAGGAGCAGGGATGGTCCAAAGCAGCAGCGCATCTTTTGTGAGAAACGTTTCTGCTGGTGCTGTTTGGGGAACAGCAGGACCTTCCCACGCCATCATTCAGGTCCTGCCTATCTCATCCAAGCTGATCTTGGTCCCAGGAGGGCTGTCAGGGCAGCTGCTGTGACAGATCGGTCGGCGTGCCTCTGTAACTGCAGCTTTGGGAAAGGCTGGGTCGGAGCTGGTTTCTGTCAGAAGGATGTTTTCATCAGCCGTGGAGCAGAGGCAGCACAGCTAACTGGAGCCTCAGAGTCAGCTGTGGCTTGCTGAGTGATCTTCAGCTTGGCCTGCCTCTTCCTGCCTCTGATCCCGCTCCTGGGTTTTCCTGAGGTTGTTTTGACTGTCGGCTCTTGGGGCTTCTTTTAGCATCCCAGACAGATTTGTTGTTTTCCAAATTTTCTGTTTTTCACTGTTTCCACAGAGCTCTGATGTCTGAAAATTCACAGAGGGGACAGTGTGATGTGAGGTTTTCTTTTTTTAAACCTCATAGGCAGCAGTAGTTAGTGATGAGACCCAGACAGGAAAACTGGCTAGAAGGAAAATGGAAACTGGTGTGGCCCTGGCCACTGCTGGAAGATCAGCTGTAAACCTGTCCCAAGAGAGGGGGGGGAAAAATGGCAATAACCTTCTGAGCCAAGTGTATCTGTGTTGTTGAGCGGGGGTGGATGAGCAGGGCTCCATCTACACACTAACACCTTGTTTCCACCCTGCTCTCTTCCCACACGCAGGATGGCTCTTGCAATGGTCTGCAGCACTATGCAGCTCTTGGCCGGGACCTTATTGGCGCCATGTCCGTCAATCTGATGCCCTGCAGTGTCCCCCAGGATGTCTACAGTGCGGTGGCCCAGCAGGTGAGGCACAGTGGAGACATGGGGAGGTGTCCTCTTGGACCTGCCTCCCCCCCTTGCCAGTGTGTTGCACAGGGTCACTCCAGCTCCCAAGGAGAAAGGTCGAGGTAAGACCAGCATACAGAGGGCTGGGAAAGCACGAGCTGGTCACAGGCAGAGAGTCTCTCCCTCCCCAAATGGGAACCACTGCAGCAGCTGCAGTGGGGATCTGGCTGGAGATCTGTCCTGACGGAGGTACCTATGAGAAATCCACTGGGATTTCTGTTGTCCTCACTTGTCCTGAATGAAGTCTGGGAGAAGTAGGGTAGAGAGGTGGAAGAGAGCAAAGAGTGTTCCTCATCTCTTGATCACAGCTGGCTGGCCCGCAGGTTATAGGATTTTCTTCGTTTGAGCTGGGTAGGAGGGAGGGGGGAGAGATTCAGCCTTTTGGCACTGCTGCTAAGTCTTCAGTTTTCTTGGCAAGACATGATGTGAAGTGTGCTGAGATCTACCAGACTCACTCAACTGGTATCGAACCCCTGGCTCTCCCTTCTAGGTCTCAGCATGTTTTATCCAGGCAGCACCGCAGCAGCGGGTGGGAGGAGCACATGGACGGTGCATGGTTTGCTCAGAGTTGTCACTGGGGGTGGCAGAGGTGGGAGAACCTGAGTCCTGAGCCACAGTCCTAGTGCCATGTCCTTGTGACGTCCGGCACCACCCAGCTGCCAAGTGACACTGCTCTGCTGAGGCAGCAATGGAAGGCTCTGGGCCCTGCGGGCACGGTTATCTGTGAGATATGGATGCCTCTTGATCCCTTCAGCAGATGATCTCTGCTAACCAGGGCTGGTGAAGATGGGCTGCAGGGTTTCTGATGGGAGTTCAGGCCAGGCAGCGCATAGCTGGGAGGGTCTCATGTGGCCCCCCTGACTCTCCCCCAGCCATGAAGGGGACTTGGGCCAGCATGGCTGACCTCCCGGGGCGCTCTCCTCCTCAGGTGGAGGAGTTTCGGAAGAAGGATGCTGAACAGGGAGTGAAGATTGCCCAGGTGCTGCAAGGCTTTGTCAACCGCAAGGTGGTGAAGCAGACGGTGATGACAGTGGTGTACGGTGTCACACGCTACGGCGGGCGGCTGCAGATGGAGAAGCGTCTCAAGGAGATTGATGAGTTCCCTGAGGTAGCATGCCTGCCCTGGCCTCCCCCAGCAGTGTTTTGCTCAGCTCTCAGTCCCTGCTGGGAGACATACCTGCACTGCCCTTAACTGTGGGTTTCCTTCCTGCCTTGCCCTCTCCTTGCCCCCCCAAATCTCAGCTAGCAGAGGGACATGCAGGACTGACCCCCCCCATGCCTGTGCCAGGCTTGTCCAGCCTGCAGGAGAGCTGTCTGCCAGCACTTGTGGGTGGGGAGGGATTCTTCAGGTGGGGCTGCTCCTCATCCTTCCCGGGCCCAGCTTGGTGGCATGACAGCCTCAGCTGGTGTTTCAGATGCAAAACAAGGTTTGTGGCTGTGCTCTTCCTTCTGGAAGTGGCCCTTGACTCTAGCAGAGCTCTTGGAGGCTTGCACCTCCTGGCACCTGTTTCTTGTTCTGTGACCCCACTGTGAGACAGTCCTTGCTGAGTGGGTGATTTGCCGTGGCATGTTGGTGTGGGGAGTGTTTTTGCCGTGTGTTACATTCCTGGGGCAGATGAGGCAGCAAGAGCCTCCTGTTCGTCCAGGGACGTTACACAGAGATGAGCCTGTCCTCAGACAAGGAGCCATCTGAAATGCTGATGTCAGCCTCCCTCCATCACAACCCACAGCCATCTGCAACAGCTCAAGACTTAGCACAGTCTGTGATGGAGGCAATTTTGAGGCATCGGAGAGTAGGGAGATGCTCTTTTAGCTTACCCTAGGTCCCATCCCTTTGCTTCGCATCTTTTGCTGCCCCTTTGCCTGACCCCTCGCTCTGCCTTTGGTCTGTGCAGGAATACTTGTGGGAAGCATCTCACTACCTCGTAAAGCAGGTGTTCAATGGCATCAAGGAGATGTTCTCAGCAACTCGAGATATCCAGGTAAGGTGCCTGTTTCCTCTTATCTCTCTCTGCCTTTTCTTCCCTGGACCACCCATACATAGACCAGGGGATGCTCCATGGGGAGAGATGGTTCCTCTGGGTCCTGGCCAACAGAGGATCCTCCTGTCCCAGCCCAGAGGTGTGGGATTGTGCCTGCTGCAGGGCCAAACTCCCCCGTAAGCGCTGGACTGTCACAGTTGGTGGCAGGAGTCGGGCTCACCTGTGCTGGGAGGGGATGGGGTCTTCCAGCTGCCTATGCTAACTCCAGCTGCTTTCTTCCCCACTTCCCTCAAGAACTGGCTGACGGAGAGTGCCAAGCTCATTGCCCAGTCGGGACGGACAGTGGAGTGGGTCACGCCACTGGGTCTACCCATCGTGCAGCCCTACTATCGCTCCAGGTCCACTGTGGTGAGTATCTGGTGTGCAGTGTGCCCCCTCCCTCTGCCGTGGTGGGGAGCAGGGAGAGGGCAGTCGGGCTTCAGGGCAGCAAGCTAAAGCCCGGCAGGTTGGCATCACTTGCGGGTGAGCCTGCAGAGCAGGTAGGATTTGTGTGTGCAGGCACATCCTCCCTGCAGAGACTGGAGTGTGTGGGTGGGCTGGTGAGGAAGCTCTGCTGCTCCCGTCCCACTCAGGCAGCTGGGGCACGGGCCCGTTCCCCGCACCAAGGAGCCTTCCTCAGGGCTCGCGTGATTCAGTCTTGCTGCTTTCGCCTCCCACGCGCTGCTGCACTGACTCACATCTCCCCAGCCTGTCTCGTCCTCATAGCTGCTCACCTCCAGGGGCCCTTCTTTTAGCCCTTGCAGGGGTGAATCAGGGTATCACTGGGAAGGGGTGAAGGGTGCCTGCCAGCATCCTCAGGAGGGGAAACAGGCAAGGTGTCACTGAGGAGTGACAGCTGCCATGGTGACTGGGATGCCCTGGCAAGGTCCCTGCCCAGGCCCCTTGTTGCAGCCAGGGACATTTCCCGCAGGGCAGAGTAGTTCGTGGTCGGTGCAATTGCTTCTCCAGAAGTACGGGGCAGTGCTGAGCACCTTGTGCGGGCTGGGCAGAGCAATGTGACAGCTGATCCCCTTTTTCTCTCCCTGCAGCTGAATTGCAGCATGCAGAACTTGAGCGTGAAAACCTCCAACGGCAACCAGTAAGTATGAAACCACTGTCTTTACTGAGCCCTTGCTGTCCCCAGCCTGTGCTTTGGGGACAAAACCTTCCCACCAGTGGAACCTGCCAATGAGTGCCAAAGCTCCTGGTATCCCTCTGAGCTGCAGAAAGCCAGCCAGAGGAGTGGGGCTCTGTGCTTCAGCAGAGCCTTGGGGCCCTCCAGGGCTGCCCCCATCAATCCCAGGTCTTGGCTGGCACTGGCTGTGCTGGTGCTCTCATCTTTGGCCCTGGAAGTGCCCCAGCTCCTCCCGTCTCCCACTCTGCTGCAGGAAGCCTGATACAGTGAAGCAGAAGAATGCCTTCCCACCCAACTTCATCCACTCCCTGGACTCCACGCACATGATGCTCACGGCTCTGCACTGCCTCAGGTAGGGAGCAGGCAGCTGGGGTTCTTCCCTGGCTCCAGGACTCGGTCTCTGCTGGGAGAGCGTCACCAGGGCAAGGTGTGTGATGTGGGAGAGGTTTCCCTGGTGGGTAGGTGTTTGGGCCTTCTGGCAGAGAAGGGTTGAGAGGTGGCAGGGCAGGGACAGGGAGATCATGGGGTTAGCCGTCTCTCTCTGAAGATCTGCAGGCGCTGTCCAGGGAGTCCCCCTCCTTGTGTGGTCCCTGTTTATGTCCCAGCACGAGAGTCTACATGGGGTAGGGGACATCGCAGAGAGGGGCCTCTCAGCACCACTTCATGGCACCTTCTGCTGCTTCCCAGGCAGGGTCTGACCTTCGTCTCAGTCCATGATTGCTACTGGACTCACGCGCTCACTGTGGATGTCATGAACCAGGTAAAAGTGTCCTCCCGGGTCCCTTGTGAGCAGGGATCTTGCTGATCTGTCCTCTGGGCACTTGCCAGCCCTTGCCTCCCCTGGGCTTTGCTCCATAGGCTGATTTATTTACCCAGGCAAGGTGAACCTGGGGTGCTTGCTGGTGGCTGCAGCTGATTTCCTGGTGCCATAGCCCCATCTCCTCCCACCCTTCAAGGAGGGTGCGAGGGAGAATCTGCGCCTGTAAAACAGCACTAAACACAGCGCCTAGCAGAGTCAGTGCCTCTGTCCTACCCTGGGCTCTTTCCCCTGGAGTGCTGCAAGGGCTGTTGTACAGTAGACTGATAAATGGGGGTCAGCCTCTGCTTCCCACCTCCCCAGGCTGATTCCCTTCACCCTTGTCCGGCAGCCCCCCCTTCCCACTCTTGCCCGCTGCCTTCCCTGCCCCTCACCTCTGACCTGTCTTGGCTGAGAAGCACTGAGGGGAAGGAGGGGAAAACACCTGTTAACCTGCGACTCACCGTTGCTCCCTGGATCAGATCTGTCGGCAGCAATTTGTGGCTCTGCACAGTGAGAAGATCCTGCAGGATCTGTCCGAGTTCATGCTGGAGAAGTACTGCAGGTATTCCTTGCCTGTTGGCGAACCCTCACCACTCTCCTTACCCACGCCGATTCCCTCTCCTGGGGGTTGTTGTGCCCAGACGTTCACGGGTTGTGTCATCTGCCTGGGGGTTGCTCTGGAGGGAAGTTGTGCTTCCTTCTTGACTGATGCCCAAATTGCCTTAGACCTTGGTGTGAAAAACAAGGTGTCTGCATCTTTTTGCTGCAGAACTGAGGTAGGGTTTGGTGCTTGAATCCCTCAGTGGGCTTGGGGCGGGCCATAATGTCTGTGCCTTGCGTTCCCCCCTGTGAATGAGGCAGTAAGGAGCAGTGAAGATACGTGTTGGGTCGGCCCAGCGTGTGGCCCTCAGTTACCACCGCAGAGCCAGACAGACAGCACAGACTGACCCAATCCTGGGCAGGGTCTGTAGACGCCTCGGCACCTGCCTAGGGCTGCTGTGGCAGGGGCTGAGCTCCTGCTGCAGGGTGTGTAATGTGTTTTGGAAGAGCTGAATCCTGTTGTCAGGGGCCTGCACTGGGGAGCAGAGGAGAGTGCACCTTCTCCCAGAGCTCCCATGTTGATTTGCTTTCCTTCTGGTTCATCCAGCCCCGGCAGAGAGACTAGAGCCCTCTGGCAGAAGAAACTGATGGAGCAGCTGTCGAATGTCCCCAAGACAGGTAGGAGCACAGGACAGGAACTGCAAAGCTCAGGAGCAGTTTGGACACACGGGGAATGAGATGGGGAGGGGCCCCCAAAATCACTGAGCTTATGTGGTGTCTGAAGCTGGACACAGTGAGGGTCTGGCCAGCCATGCTAAAGCTGTCCCCTAAGATCAGGTTTTCCTGCCTGTGCTGGACTGCAGAGCCATGGGGCAGTGCCTTAAGGTGTTCCCCTGTAGCATCCCTGTGAGCAGTCCCTGCCTTCCCTGGAGCTGAGCCCCTGGGATTTTCCCCAGGCTGACCCAGCTCATCCCGTCCTGTCTTGTTGTTTCTCTCCCATCTGTTTCCAACCACGAGGCATTTGCCTGGAGATGGGAGGGAGGCACTCAGCATGGTAATCGCCAGGATCTAGATGATATACATGCAATGGGATTAAAGCAATTAGTTTAACTCCTGCTAATCTCTCAGCCCTGCCTCTGCCAGATCATCTGGCTAACCTTTGTTCTGTCTTTGCAAAACGGAACAGGCTGGCGGAGCGCTGACCCGTGCTGTTGAGCAGCCACCGTGGTCAGCCCCAGAGGCAGCGTGATCCAGTGGCAGGGATGGTTCGTACCCTGAGGCCACGTGCTCCTCTCTTCCTTCCCTGCCTTGCTGTGTCTCTTCTGTCTTGCTTTTCTACCACTGTCCTAGATAAATTTGGAGGGACATCAGTTCCTGGAAGACCTCTAAGATCCCTGCTGTCTTGACCTACCCTGCAGCAGGGCTGAGCTGAAGTAGTTTTCTGCAGGAAGCTGAAGTGGGGCTCGAGGCAGCTTTTCTCCCAGTTGCCCCATCTCTGCTCTACTCTGACCTCTCCTCTCCCTTGCTTCTGCCAGGCAAATTCAACCTGAAGAAGGTGATGGATTCCACCTATTTCTTCAGCTGAGCCCTGGCAGCCAGCGGGGCCCTGGACTACCTCTGGACTGCCGGCTGCCTCAGAGGCTGCGGTAGGCACTGGCCTGCGAGGCCCCTCTGTCCTGCGTCTCATGGGGAAAGTGGGTACAGCTGCCAGCCCAGCAAAACATACCTGCCCAACACCGAGATGCTGGGGCAAACTGGGACTCCTCGAGGAGCGCGGGAGCAGCCACGAGGGGCTGGTGGGGGACAGGGTGTCTGCACTGTTTGCTGTTACTGCCTGCATCCAGGCAAGGGGAGAGGGCATCGAGCCCTGGGGAGGGCTGCATCTCTCTGGTGTGGGGTCAAAGGGACACAACGTGCCTGCTTGTACTGCGAGCTCCAGAGCTTGCCTGGCTAGCGCCTGTCCTGGGCTGCCATCCCTCTCCATTCCTCTCCACCAGCGGGGCTCAGACCTCCTGGAGCGTTAGGCCCCTGCCTGGAGGGGCAGGCAGCCGGCCGTGGCCACAGCAGGAGCCTCCTGCCCTTTTCTGCCCTGCTCTTGGCTGCAGGGTGGGTGCTAGGCTCCATGCCCCGCTCCAGCTGCTGGGCACTATCACTGCTCTTGCTGTAGCACAGCCTCTGCGGCTCCTGGCTCTCATTTCCAGGGATCGGTTTAAATTCTGCTTACTGGGTCTCAGGCAGGGAAAACCACTAACACGGGGGTGGAAGTGTACAATACTGTAAATAAAATGGGTTTTTTTGAAATACTAGATGGAAACTGTGTCCTTCTCTGCATCTTTGCCTGAAGTCTGCAGGGTGTCTGGGCTCTCCCCTCCTTGTGCTGGGGAGGTGGGACTGATGTCTCCCCAGGCTGCCACTGTTTTGCTGACTGGTTGGGCTTCAGTTATCCACAGCAGTGTCACATTCTGGAAATGCTTTTGTAGCACAAACAGAGACAAAACTTCTCCCACAGCACAGACTGGCTGGCACAGCTGCAGTGGGAGCAGGGCTCTTGCAGGGGCTGACTGCATCCACTTGGCCCTTGTGTTTCTAGCCCGGAGTCTCCTGTCTCACAGACTGTGGCCTTCCACAGTCTGTGGGGCTGCATGTTTGTGTCCCAGCTCCTGCAGCAGTTGATGTTTGGAAATCTTGCAGCTGGAGCTCAGTGCTTGGCTCCAGTTTACAGCCTACTCCCACCTCCTTCCCCACTGCAGCCCTGTGGTGTCCAGCTGACACTGGACAGGGGGGCACAGCCCTTCCAGCAAGGAGAAAGGTGCTGGGAAGAGGCTTTTTGCCTTGTCATTTTTCTGGCAGGGAAGCAGCTCTTCAAAGGACAAAGCTGCCTCCTCCAGCCCAGCCTGGGGCTGTGCCCAGTGGCAGGGCTCCCAGGCCTGGGCGGGGGGAGCGGGAACAGCCGGAGCCACGGCAGGGAGGGACGGTTGTGAAGGAGAAGCAGAGACGGAGTCGTGTGTAGCTCTGTCAGTTGCTGACGTTTATTGCACAGGATGGGCTGGATGGAAAGGTGGATGCTTGGAGCGGGGCCCTGTCCTGCCGGCTGCACAGCTACAGGGCATTGGGCTGGCGCGTGGCCCCTCGCTCGCAGTCGCTGCATACATTCAACGTGGAAGGCTCCAGAGTGCTAGGCAGAGAGGCGCATGTGTGTGTGCACACCCCACCCCACCCCACGCGCACCCCCCCCCCAATCTGTAGGTGCACACACAGAGGCACGTACAGCTGGGACTGCCTGTGGGGCAGCGCCTGCCCATGGGGTAGCCCCAGGGCTCGGGTCCCCAGGCTCCAGCGTCTGCCTCCGTCCTAACGCTGACTATGGGGAAGTCGGGCTGCATTTACCCCCCCAGCCCTGGGGTCGGGTTGGGGGAACAGCGTGTGTGTGTGAGCCTCAGGGTGACCGTCCCTCAGACACCCCCCGCCCCCCCAACTTACCTCCAGTCCTGGACCATCACCCCTCGCCTGGGGTCTGTGGGAGGGGAAGCAGGGATAGGTGCAGGCACTGGGGCTGGCCAGCGTGCCTAAAGCCCCAGGGAGGTGTCCTGCGGATGCGCACGTACGGGTATGTATCCAGGTCATATATATCATACACAGAGTTGATCACAGGGGATGATGCAGCTGTGGCTTCTATGGAGCAGCCGGGGAGGCTGGGGGCAGCAGGGCTTCGCCATGGGGGGCGGGAGATGGGGCCAGACTTTGGTCAGAGGCGACGCAGCTGGGGGGCTCAGCCCGGCCCCCCCACTGTGTCCCAGTGGTGGGGGGGGGGGTGGGGGGGCTGTGGGTGGAGGGGTGCAGGTGCTGCCCACCCCCGGCAGCTACCCCACTCTGCAGCGTGCGGCGGGAGGAAGCCGGGGAGTGGGGCTGGGGCCGCGGTGGGAGGAGGCAGCTGGTGGGGCAGCCACGGCCCTCACCCAGTGCTCCTCGGCAGGGCGGTGCAGGATGGGCACGGGGCGAGACAGGACTCACTGCTGCAGCCCCCTCCCGTGCACTTGTCCCCGCGCCCGGCGTGGCGCGGAGGTCACAAGTTGGAAGACAGCCTGGACTTGGCTGGGTCCGTGTCGGGCGTGCTGGCCGCCGAATCCTTGCGGGCTGCCGCCGAGTCCTGCGGCAGGGCAGGCGGCCCTGTGTGCACTGAGCCCGTGGATGCCGGGTGGGCCGGAGCCCCCCGTGAGGGCACCTGGCTCCGCAGCCCGGACGGGGGGCCGGGGCCCGGCGAGGCAGCGGCTGGGCCCCCGCCGATGGAGGCGCAGGACTCGCGGGCCGAGGCTGGAGGGCTCTGGGTGCTGCCGGCCACCAGCCCGTGGGGCAGGGAGGGCTGTGAGGCCGACAGCGGCCGCGAATCCTGGCTGAGGCTGCTGGTGTGCAGCGCCTGTGTGCTTTTGTGGGCGGCCACGAGCCGGGGCGAGCCCGCGACCTCCTGGGGGCGGAGGGAGAGCTGGGAGCCCAGCTGCCCCGGGGCACCTCCGTAGGCAAACGTCCGGCTGGCCAGGGGGCTTTGGGACGGCGGGCTGGCTGTGGCAAAGGCGCTGGTGGAGGCGGGCAGGGCCACAGGCTGCGCCTGGTCCTGCGAGGGCGAGGGGTTGGCATGGGGCACAGGGGGCTGCGGCTGCTGCAGGGGGCTCTGCTGCAGCAAGACGGGGGAGACGGCGAAGGGGCTGGGCACAGCCTGGGCATACTGCAGGCGACGCATCATGTGGGGCGAGCCCAGGCCCATGGAGCCCACCAGCGGGCTGGCCATCTGTGGGCAGAAGCTCATGGCGACGGCTTGCTGGAGGGTGGCGATGGCGGAGGTGACCTGGGGCTGGACGGGGCTGTACATGGCCGTGTGCTGCTGCAGCTCCGCCTGCTGCACCATCTCCCGGTCGTACTTGACAATCTCCTGGATGATCTCATTCTCCTGGTTGTTGAAGACGCCCGAGTTGAGGTCGTGCTGCACTTTGTGGAGCAGGATCGAGTTCTTCTTCCCTGCAGGGAGGGGGCCAGGATGGGGAGTGCTATGAGACCCCCTGCGCTGGGGCTGCGCTGGCACCCCCACCCCAGCCATGGCTGTCCCACATTGCCAGGACAGCCCCCTCGCCCCCACCCCCAAGAGCCCCCTGTGCCCTACCGATGCGGTCGAGGCGGGTGGGGGGGGCAGCCGGGAGGTCATGGGGTACTCCTCCAGCACCTCGTTGAAGTTGTCCACCGAGAGCGAGTAGAGGCGGCAGTAGGGGTCTGCCCGGACACTGGCCGTGCGCCGGCCGCGGGTCAGCAGGCAGATTTCTGCAGAGAACACACCGGTGCCAAAGTCAAAACACTGCCAGCGAGGACTGGAAACAGGGGCAGGCCAGGAGCAAGGGACGAGAACCATTGAGTGGTGGGTGCCCCAGGACAGCAGAGGCATCCTGGTGCCTCTCACAGACCCTGGGAGGGGACCCAGGCTCAGCCCCCTGCAGCACTCACCTCCGAAGTAGGAGCCATCGGAGAGTTTCATCTCCTTGTTGCCCTTGGTGAGGATGCTGACCACCCCGTGCTGGATGAAGTACATCTTCTTGCCGATGGTGCCCTCGCGGATGATGTAGTCGCCCGGCTGAAACACCTCAAACTTCAGCTTAGTGAGCATCGCCGTGACGAAGTTGGGGTCCGCGTTAGCAAACAGCGGCATCGAGGCCACCAGCTTGCGGCAGTTGAAGTTCACGATTTCCTGCAGGGAAAGGAGGTGAGGGACCAGGAGGCAGGGACATGGCTCCCCCCCAGGGCAGGCTCACAAACACAGAGGTGTCAGTGCACGCAGACATCCCAGCACACAGACTCTGCGCATGGACATACTCACACTTGGAGCTGCAAAGCTGGAACAAGAGGTGCTTGGCCCCCAGGGCCCTTACCTCACGCAGGGGCTCGTTGAGCTCCCCCAGGATGCTGTCCTCGTCGAACATCTTGCCCTGGTAGCGGTGCTCGTAGTAGTCGTGGATCTTCTGGCGGAAGTCGGCGGGCAGCTTGTGGAAGGACATGTACTGCTCCACCTGCTTGTACTGCGGGGAGAGGTGGCGTCAGCACCCAGACAGGCTGGGGCTGCGGCGCCGGGACCCCCCGTCCCCCCCCGTCCCCCG